ACTGTCTAAATTACTTAATTAAAGCTAACTAAATTAAATACTTCAGAATTACTTTTTTTTTTTTTTTTAAATAGAGACAGGGCCTCTCTCTTGCTCAGGCTCTCTTGAGCTTAAGGAACCCTCCTGCCTCAGCCTCCCAGAGTGCTAAGATTACAGGCCTGAGCCATCGTGCCCAGCCCACTATTTTGGGAATTGATAATTTGAAGTTTCTAATGTGAAACATAAATGTTCATCCATTAAGCATTTATTGAACACTTATTCTAGATGGCATGGTTCTAGGTGCTAGAGTGAACTAATAGACAAAGTCCCCACTCTTACCAAGCTCATGTTTTAGTAGGGAAGACAGTCAATAAAAATCAGACAAAATGCTTTTGAAAGCTGAGGCAGAAGGATTGCTTGAGGCCAAGAGTTTAAAACCAGCTTGGGCAACATAATAAGACCCCGTCTCTACAAGAAACTTAATAAAGTGAGATGGGGATGGTGGTACTCACCTCGAGTCCTAGCTGTTTGGGAGGCTGAGGCAGGAGGATCACTTGAGCTCAGGAGCTTGAGGTTATAGGCAGCTATGATTTAGACCACTTAGGTGACGGGGTGAGACACTGTCTTTAAAGAGAAAAAGAAAATCAGGCAGATTTATAATGTTAGGTACTAATAAGTGCTGTGAGGAAAATAAAGCAGGGTGAAGAGATAAAGAGTGACAAAGTTGGAGTATAGGTGCTACTTTAAGTGGCCCTTTGGGTGACTCTGAGCAGAGAACTGAATGAAATGAAGGAGCATGCCATGTGAACACCTTGGGGACGAGCTTTCCAAGGTGAAGGTACAGCAAGTGCAAAAGTCTCTTCAAGGATCTGCAAAAAGTCCCATAGTTTCTAGTTTGGCTGGAATGTAGAAATCAGCTACCCAGTACTAATAGTATTAAATATTTAAAATACTATGATTACATTCTTTGTTGTTAATGTTTCCTAATTCTTAAACTTCCTTCATTGTGATTTTTTTCTTTTTAGGAAGATGTTGATCCTCAAAAGGTTGCATTTCTTCTGCGTAAACAGTGGACTTTATATAGTTTAACTCCCCTGTATAAGTTCTCCTATACTCATCTCAAGGAGTATTCTAGACTTCTGAGTGCATTTATTGTTGCTGAAAAGCAAAAAGGACTTGCTGTGGAAGTGGGAGAAGACTTCAACATCAAAGTGATCTTCTCTACCCTCCTAGGAATGAAAGGAACACAAAGGGACTCTGAAGCATTTCTTGTCCAGGTATGGTATATAAGCAACACTTGCTTCCCAGGGGAAAAGAATCTGCATTTTCTTGGTTTGCAAACTGTTGTGATGTTTTCTTATTCCTTTTAAAATTCCTGAGCTTGGGATTTATAATGTATTTTATATCTTGTTTGGCTAAATTAAATTAGATTTGACCACCTTAAAAACTTTTTTTCTATATAGGTGGGAAGTGTGTGTGTATATACTATTGCACAGTATTTTAAATTGCACATGAACTTTATGACCACCATATATATACACACACATATAAAAAATCATGTTTATTTTTATTTATGTATATATATATAAAATCGTGTTTATTTAAAAACACTTAGAAATACATAAAAGTACAAAAATGTTAAACATCATAGTTTAACATTTTATTATACATCTATTTGGTTGTCTGAATTTAGTCCCCCTCCATGATCCATGAAGATAATGATGTGTCTATACACTCTTAAAATTGGGATCATACTGCCCATACTTTTGTTTTCTTATTTTTTATTTTGATTTTATCCTTATAAATTTCTTTTCCTTTTTTTCTTTAATTGTATCTACCTATGATTCATGAAGGGAAAAATACTATACATTTGCCTGTCTTGATGTAATTAACTACTTCGGTGATAAGATGGATGCCTTTATAAATTAAGAATAAGAAACTTCCTATTCAGCAATCTTAATATATAAATCTTTAACCAATACAGCAGAATAAAACTGGTAAATACCCAAACCCAACAGAGTGAAGCACAGCAGTGTCTGGTGATCGACTTAAGATTACATGTTGAAAAGCATCAAGATCAAACGTAGGACCTATAGCTGGGGCTGTAGGATCAGTGAGATAGACTTGTGTGCATAAATTGTTGAGGATGTCTAAGTCAGGAAACTTAAATTTGATGTGTTCAGCTGTTTGGGGAGCTATAATATGGCGAGACAGTAACAATGACCCCCATGGAACCTAGATAGTATCCAGCAGAAGTTTTGATGAGTATATAAAGTCCTTGTCTGATGCCTTGTGGTGTTACATAAAGGGCAACAGTGAATGGATTATAATCTGACCTGTTAGATTATCTGGGGAGTAAAGAGTGCTGTTGGTCCAGGGAATAAATGTTGCTCAAACAAGACTGCAAGTCCAGTATAACATCATTCTGCTACTTACAAGTCTAGTTACACTCATTTCACCATGTGGCAGTCTCTGTGAATTTTTTTTTTTTTTTTTTTTGAGACAGAGCCTCAAGCTGTCCCCCTGGGTAGGTGCTATGGCTTCACTGCTCACAGCAACCTCCAACTCCTGGGCTCAAGCGAGTCTCCTGCCTCAGCCTCCCAAGTAGCTGGGACCACAGGTGCCCGCCATAACTCCCGGCTATTTTTTGGTTGCAGCCATTATTGTGGTTTGGCGGATCTGGGCTGGATTCGAACCTGCCACCTTAGGTGTATGTGGCTGGTGCCTTAGCCGCTTGAGCCTCAGGCACCCAGCCAGTCTCTGTGAATTTTAATGTGTTAATAAGGGGCTGTGAGAGTAATACATTGTGCACCCATCCAGCTGTGGCTTGGGTAACTTGCGGATAATGTAGTGTGGGGTTCAGGTATTGCTGGGTGATTGAAAACCCAGCAATATGATTGTACAGTGATTTGAAAATCCATGGCGTTTGGGTTTGCTTTCATCTTGTACACTGCACTTGATGTAAATTGAGCATCATGGTAAATCAGTGACTCATCCATGGGGTAAGAAGTGTGCAGATCTTTAGTGCTGACATGCCAGGGGTGATCACGTAGTTCACCCTTAACTAATCTTTTGGTAAATACATTTGTCAAAGAGACAGGCAGGAGCTCTTTTAAGGTTGTGGAGGTGAGTTGACATGAGCCTGACACAATTTCTGTCTTGTTGCAGTTGCTGCAGGCTTTGGGTTTCTGTGATCCACTTCTCTCCTGTCTCTGTTCCCTTTTGTCCATCATCTGCAATCATTTTCTTAATTCAACTCCTAACCTACTTATAATAGACAAGTGAAAATTGGTTTCAAGCTTATTAAATCATTATTTCTAGCAATGCAAACACGTCAAGATATGACTCTTCCCTTAAGTACCCACATGTCCAACTGCAGGTGGAGACATAGAAAGAGAAAGTTAGCCCTCCTAGCTTCTTTTCAATTGATTAAACCCTCCCCTCCAGTAATTTTAAGAACCTTAAAGATCATGTTGTAATTTTGTTAATGCTTTCATCTCTAGAGGAACTTACCTTTTCTGCTCTCTAGAGTTTCTCTGGCTACTTCTGCTTCCTGTTATATTGCTATCACATGATCCTGACTTGACTCAGTGTGTCTTGGTGGCTCTCCAGATGGAGCTCTACACACCTCTCTTCTGCGGCCAGCTCCACTGCCCTCTCGTATGCTCTTTCTGGAGTAGCTTGCTCATCCCGACTATCTGCTCTTGGCTCTGTCGAGATGCTTCTAGGTCTTCCCTTGCTTGCTCCCTCGCTTGAGGATCCTTTTTCTTTTGATTTTTCCATGTTGCCATCAAGGTCAACTAACCTGAGCTTGTCAGCAGCAATGATTAATGCTCTCGCAATGACTTCTCTGGATGTTATGTCACCTCATACATTTTCTAACGTAGTTTTTCATTATAGCATTTTTACTAATCAATAATGTAGATAATTTTCATGTCATTAGAAATTCTGTATTTTTGTAGCTTATGTCTATATAATTCTATAATTCTTCCAAGGGTTAAATTCCTAGAAGTAGAACTTTAGTAAAAATATATATAACATATAATTACATACTGTGATACTTCATGCCAAGTTATTCTCAGAAATATAAAATTTTACATTTCTTCCTATAGGTAGTGTATAAAAGTAATAGAACTATTTTTTGATTGTTAAAGGAACCAGATTTATTTTGTTTATTCTTCATGTCTGCTGCTTCTGTTTCTTCTCACTTAACTAATTTTAATCATTTATAAGCAAATCAAATTTTTAAGCAGTTGAAAGACTGATTTTTGTTGTTGTTGTTGTTTGTATAGACAGGGGTAAGGAAACTATAACACGTAGGCCAAATCTGACTTGCTGCTTGTATTGTAAATGAGATTTTATTGGAACATAAAATTTGCTTATTATTGTCTATGATGCTTTTGTCTACAACAGCAGAGTTGAGTAGTTGCAACAGAAACCAGATTGCCTGCAAAGCCTGAAATGCTTACCATCTGGCTTTTTACAGAAAATGTTTGCTGACCCCGGAAATAGGACACAATATTAGCAAAGATCTCAAGATGTTCTAAGATTAGGGTTAGCTTAAATAACAATGGATTAAACAAGGTAATTTAAAAAGGTTTATTTGTTTTATTTTTTAAAAAGGTATCTGAACTAAGCTGTCCAATGCTGGTGTGATGCTTGATGAAATCACCAGTAATCTCAGCTTCTTCTTTCTTTTCTGTCATCCTTAGTGCATGGCTTCCATTCTAAAAGTCACCTTATAGTCTGAGATGTCTTCTGGAACTCTCAACATTATATTCAAGTTCTAGTCAGGATGTATGATGAAGTTGAGAAGGACAAACTGGGTACCTGACACAGTAAATCTTTCTGACACCCAATAACTTCTATATAGATCCTAGGTAGAAGGGAGGCTAGGAAAAAATTATTTTAGTGTATACCTTATCACCTAAAGTAAGGGGACTGTTTTATTGTAAGAGGAAAGTTGGACACTGGATAGACTGTAAAACAGTCAGGTAAAACAGCTGATACTCAGGAAACTTTCATGACTTGGATATCATCAGTCAAGCAAGTATTGTGAGGATTTTTCTTTGTTTTTTGTTTTTTTGAGACGGGTTTAAGCTGTTGCCTTGGGTAGGGTGCTCTGGTGTCATAGCTCACAGCAACCTCCAACTTGGGCTCAAGTGATCCTCTTGCCTCAGTTTTTCTATTTTTAGTAGAGATGGGGGTCTCGCTTTTGCTCAGGCTGGTCTCCAACTCACAAGCTCAAGCAATCCACTCATCTTGGCCTCCTAGAGTGCTAGGATTACAGAACCTTTTAAATTCTTGATATTGTGTTCTAATAGTTTTCAAACAGGATTATAGGCCTCATTTTTTTTTTTTTTTTGTTTTTGGGGGACCAAGTCTTAAGCTGTTGACCAGGCTAGACTGCCATGGCCTCAGCCTAGCTCACAGCAACCTCAAACTCCTGGGTTCAAGTGATCCTCCTGCCTCAGCCTCCTGAATAGCTGGAACTACAGGTACCTGCCATAACACCTGGCTAATTTTTCTATTTTTAGAATAGACAGGGTCTTGCTCTTGCTTGGGCTGGTCTCAAACTCCTGAGCTCAATTGATCCTCCTGCCTCAGCCTTCCAGATGCTAGGATTATAGGCATGAGCCACTATGCTCTACCAGGGTTATAGGACTCTTAAGGTTATGAGTGTGGTTAATAGATCTGAGCTTTAGGGTATTTGACAGGCTTTTAAAATTTCATGAACAAGAGGAGAAATAAGGCAAATGTAACTGTTTAAATGATCACCTCTGCAGGGATCTGACACAAGTCTGTGATCTTATCCTCGGTCTGGTCAATGTTTTAACAGAAACTTCTATGACTATGTGGAAGGTCTCTTTGTCATGTAATGTACAGATTTAAAGTTTGAGATGTAAATATAATCTAAGATCTGACACAATGAAACAATCTGAATGGATTGCATGGTGGGCCAAATTGAAAGAGATTAAAGTTTTAGTAGGAGTAAGTTTATTTCCTTAATATAATTTGGGGGTGATTTACCTATTAATATAAAAAATGAATCTGTAAGTCTAATATAAAGCAATCAACTAAAAATCAGAAAACTGCAATCTGAGATTACATTATTTGGAGTATAATCTAGGTTAAAGATGGTGATAGTCTTATAATCAGACCTTTTGAAGTAATTATATTAACTTATGACTCCTTTGCAGAAGAATTTCAGAGAAAAATGACCCAGAATAGTGAGAGAATGTATGTGATAGGAGGAATGACACTGAAGAAACTGAAGATGTTAAACTTGGTAGTTTATATGCCATTGACTATTTGAAGGGCTTTGTTCTTTGGCAAGAAATATATGAGATCATCTTGTTTTTTTTTTTT